GCCTAGGGAAGGGTCTCTTCTTTAGTTTTTCTTGTGTTTGGATGTAATTGTGTATTTCTGGGTTTGTTGTGCAGCTGGTAATCGCTGTTCGTAAGGCAGAGATAAGTGGAAGTCAGCTATTGTATGATGGCTTCACCTTCTCGGTGACTCTTAACTGGCCTAGTGTATTCTGTCATCTTATAGTGAGTGGGCTATAGGCAGCCACTGCTCTGCAGCAGGCTGCAACCCCTTTCTCCAGCTCCCCCACCCTTTTCCCTTGTTACCGGCTTGCCAGTGGCATGCTTAAAGGCAACCTTTTGCTCAAAACAAGAAATTCAAAACAGAAGGCATCTCACGGGTGCACGTCTTGTAAGCAAAACACTGTGACCCAGCCATTTTTGTCAGAGCATAGCAGCAATATTTTAGGATTACAACATCGGACTCTGCCTCTTAATGCCTGTACAATGTATTCAGTCATGTCTGAAAGGGCCAGCCTGTTACCACTGTACTCCGGGTGCAGCCCAGCGTTAGATGAAGCCTTAGGTAATTATTGATTACTCTCTATTGAGCCAAAGAGGCAAATGCCTTGAATGACAACAGTGTTGTGGTACAATCGGGCTTTCTTTCTCATTCTGTTTCTTCTCTTTGTGAGTCCATCGTTCCAGCCGTGTTCAGATCAAACATCTCTTATCCCAGCATTTGCAAATTTAATCCCGATCCAGTTGAAACTGATTGCCATTCACGCTTGGCATATGAATGAATCAGGCTAATTGCTGTGTTTCAATTCAGTTCTTCCTCTTGCGTTTTTTTTGTGAGATACTTATTCTGTTACTAAACAAAAAATGTATTTACACTTGTATAGGTGTGTAAATGCATATGGTGACTCATCTCGGGGATAGACTTGAAGACTTGTATCTATGTTTGCCTAGTCTTAGAAGATTAACTGAGCCTTCCACGCACTACACTACAAGTATTGTTAGCAGAGCAAATGCATTCACACTATACTTTGACACAGTTAGCTGAACAATGGTAAATTAGGCACTCCACCAGTACTTTGACAGAAATGTGGGTTTATGTGCTTAGTTTGTGAAAAATAAGCCCAAAGTAAACAAATGAAATGTGTGATGATACATTTTGTCTCTCAAATATTCTAAAAACATGAACATGGTGCTCGATCCAAAGCTATGTTTATATGTGAAACTTTATTTGCCTCCTTGTCTGTTTCGTCAGACATTATTTAAACAGCAAGCGCTGAGACGCACTCCTCGCCATTATTAGTCACAGTGGAAGCTCGAGCTATAAATGTGTCTCAAGGGTGTCAATGATGCATATCTTTTAACTGTTACCAAACAATAAAAGGGACCTTCATCCGGGTGCTGCACTTGACAGCATCTATATCATGGATGTATTTTTAGGTGTTGCCTACAACCCATTCAAATTTGTTGAAATGGTAGAAAGTGGCCAAACTGGCTCCTCCTACACTGTCACACCTATGACACAGTTTCTTTCTGTGGTGCTATAAATAGTAATTGGTCAGTGTTTACATTGATCATATCGTACCGTCAATAAGGCAGGTTGCCAAACCCGTCCCGGCTTCAGACTAGCAGCTGTTCATTTGACCCATTTACAGAGGAAACCGTATTGACTATGGCTCCAATGTGACTCCCACTTATTTATTATCTTGGATTGAATTGAGGGGTATTAAGATAAATCTTTCTCTGTTCTCCACAAAACATGATGCTTGGGCTTGTGTGTTCATGCACATGCTTCTTCCCACCTAAGGCTTCTATGAGTTATATTAATAGAAGTCACACTATGGTTAACATCATTTTTGAGACCACAACACTGGGCCTTTTTATGTGTTACACAACAACGTGGTTTGAACATTAGGAGTGCACAGAAACTTTACAGTATAGACAGACAGACAGGCTTATGTAATAGGAGTGCCACAAGCCTGGCAACTCATCCCTGGACAGCTTTGTGTCCTGCAGGTCCAATTACCAAATATGTTACAACACAGTTCTTATAGGCTATAGATAGAAATGGTTCACTTAAGGACTTTGGTGCTTAAAAAGATAATAAATGTTAATTTAAGCCTTCTTACAGTTCCACTTATCTCAGATTGGGAGTTTAAAATGCTGCTCCTCAAGTTTAGTCTACAGGCTTTTTTCTAAAAAAACAAAAAAAAAACGCTGTGTCAACTTTGGGAAATGGTTTTCACCTGCTTTTGACGGGATAATGAAAAAAGATGTATATCTTGGATGAAGCTCTCATTCCTTGTTATTTCCATTGACAGCCCCGTCGACTGCCAAATCTTTATGGAAGTGGCTGATAATGGCTGTGCACACACTTGCCCTCTCCTCTGGAATTCCCAATCTGTTACTGTCATCAAGATAAATTGGCCAACTTGAAACTGACACTGCAGAAGTGTGTGTGTGTGTGTGTATTTGTGTGTCCGAGCCAAGTCTCCATTATGTCTGAATAGGAGATCTCTCTTCTTACCTAGAATCTGCCTGTTTGCAAGAATGTGACACACACAGGCTTTGTGTGCACGCGTGCATGTGCACCATCCTCTATAGTGTGCTGTTGACTTAGTCGCTCTTTGTGTAGGTTCAGTAAAAGTAGGGCAAAGCTGAATATGTTTAGCTGTTTCCTCCTAAGTGTCTATCGAGTCGCAATGATTGCCTGCTTGTTTGTTTATTTGCTAATTAATTGAATTGTAATTAAAAACGAGATGGAAAAACATAATGAGACCAGATGGAATTAATTAATCTCAGAATAATATGATTATATGTTGATTTCAAGTAACCAGTTTGCAGTGCTCAGTTTAGTGTTATCAGCTGGTAGCTGGTTGGTGCATATGCACACCTTTTTCTCATTTTAGTCCTCTGCTAAATTCATAAATCATAATTTGCCTCACAACCTAATTTGCTTATCTCAGTAATAGTAAGCTCTAAGCCCACAAGTTGCAGTACACTCATGGAAGACAAATGGGATTCCCCTCCCCCCCTCCCGTTGCTGTGCATATATATGATGTACCTCTAGTCACCCATAGCATCATCAGCCTCCCCCAGTGCAGGCTGCATCCAAGTCTTAAGTGCCAGCCCTCAGTCAAGGCTTCACCTTCACTGATTAGTTCTTTTTAGGCTTGTCAGCATATATGGTGTATTTTGGGGGCATGGGGGTATTTTAAGGTGCATTTATTTGTTTGTTGAAAAAGTTGGACACTTAAATAATGTTAAGTCACATTTATGAATCCCTGACTTCTTGTTCAAGTTCACTTCAACAACAACATTTAACTATCATGGTTCTGGAAAAAAAAAGAGCTCCAGAAACAACCACACAAGCAGGGAAGGAATACGACAACACCACATAGAAAAGACAGATCAGAGATCTTGGGTTTGAACAGAGGACTGTGTTACTGCAAGTTGCTCATCGTGTATATTAAATTAGACTGCATTAAACTTCATACTCAAAAAAATACTATTTGTGATGCCACATGGGGTTACAAAAAAAGACTAAATTAAGAGGCAAAAGTTTTTTTTTTTAAAGGACTTATGAGAGACAGACCACATTTTAGACAAATAATTATTTTTTGCTGTTATTTAACATTTATTTATTAGTGTTGCACATGGGCATTATGAAATCTGAGTTGTTGTTTTTTATTTTAGTACAAAACACATTAAACTAAATGTAAAAGCTTTCTGAATATGAAGGCTGTAAGTTCTTCTCAAGCTGTTGCATCATGCCAGACTAGTTTGCTGCCTAGCTTCAACAGTAATAAACGGTCACTTTATTATTAGCCATAGCCACTAGTCGCTGCCTTAATGATAGAGGCAGCTCATGTGAGTAATAGCTAATAGTTAAGTGGTTAATTTTAATGTATCCACCACCCCGATAATGTTTAGTACTTAAGTGTTGTTGAAATGGAAGCTTTACTGACCTCTCAAATTATTTTAGAGCCCAGGCTGTCGGTCTTTAAGATGCTTCACCCAGTTATGCTAATATTCAGTGTTGAGCTGCTAGTGGGGGCGGAGCTTTGTGCCTCCCTGACTGCAGCATTGCTGTATGTCAGCTGGAGGAAGCAAAGATGCCACTATTGGCATCAGTAAGGTTGCAAGTGAATATCTAATACCACTGTAAGTTTTAGTAACTAGGTATGTTTATTTTATTTATTTATTTATGTATTGCTACTGTAGATGCCTACAATATTTAAAAAAATACAGTTCTGTTTTCAGAATTTTGGTCTGCATTTATGGTTTTCGGATAAGCAGCTGGTTTCTGTTGGCATTGGGGTTTTGTGAAGACTTTTCTTCAGTTCTGACTTTCAAAGGTAACATTAAACATCATAAAAGAGGAAAAGAAACGGGCTACATCAAAGTTGTCTCAAGTAACTACATAATTATGGTGTCACTATGTGTTATTACTGCACCCCATGAGCAGGTAGCACTGAAAATGGTTATTTCCTCCTTGGGTTTTCATGTGTGAAGTGTACACTTTGGCAAAGGTTGTTTGTTTGTAAGCCTGTGCTCTTGAGCTCAGCTGGAATCAAAGCAAAACAGAGTCCTCAAACCACCATGGACAAATGTAATGACTAGCTAAGGTTCCTTTAGACATCTCTCAGTGTGTGTGAAATGGTTAGTGTGACCGTTCACCTAGTTCCCAAATCCTTCTCCCTCTATCCTCCATCCTGTCTTTTCTGCTCTGCTCTGTTAGCCTAACCATCTTAGTCTTTCTCTCAGCGCCCTCAGTTTTCGTGACTCATTTGCTACTCTTCACTTTGTTGCCATTTTACATGTTGCAGTTTTAGCTGTCATCCTTGACAGATAAACCGCCTCCCTTCCTTTCTCTTGTGACCCCCTCACTCACCCTCATACGTCTCCTTTCTTCTATATTCTCAACCACTTTATTTCATCACCACTTTTCAGCCTTCAACACTCGTTCAGTTGTCCCAAGACTCTTCTTCCTCTGCCTTTTCTTCACCCACCTAATTTTTTCCTCCCCTCTCCATGTTTCTTTAGATGTGGCCCCTGCGGAACAGGAGAAGCTCTTCATCCAGAAGCTGCGACAGTGCTGCGTTCTTTTTGACTTCCTGTCTGACCCACTGAGTGACCTGAAATGGAAGGAAGTGAAGCGGGCGGCTCTAAGCGAAATGGTGGAGTACATTACCCACAACAGGAACGTCATCACAGAGCCCATCTACCCGGAGGTGGTTCACATGGTCAGTAGAGCTGAAGGGAGTTAGGTTTGTCCCTAATGCTAAAGATGAGGCAGAAACTTGGGCTAAAAATATTGATACTCTGCTAATGTTTCCAATAAGATTTCAGTGGAGCGTTTGTGTAGTACATCATGTTTTGTTTTTTTGGGTTTTTTTGCATTCATCCGGGTTTTAAATGTTTTTTACGGAGGCTTCTTCCAGTATTTGTTTTTCCAGATAGGAAACTGAAAGGTTTTTTCTTTTGTTTTGTTTTTTTACTGATGACTTAGTAAAAAATGAGCAATGTGAGGTTTTTTAACACTATAAAATATATATAAAGAAAGCATCCTAAGTTGAAGGCGTAAATTTGAGTTTTTGCTTTCGTCTAGTATTAACTTTGCATTACTGATGTGTAAGCCTTTTCTAAACAAGAAAATCTCTTCTCATCACTTGTATGAGTTTTTTTTTTTTTCTTCTAAAAGAATGAAGTAGGTTAAAGCCACTGGGAATGAGAGAGAAAAGGCACATGAAAGCTCTTACATTAAAAGGGGTCTTTTCCAGCAGAGGACTTTCTCTTGGCACACAGAGGGATGCATTTTATATTTTCAGGAGCTACAGCGGTTTGTTTAGGAAGTAATGAAAGAATGGCCTTCTCATTTTTTGCGGCAGCAACTTAACCTTTAAAAAGAATCAAAGTAAAACAAGATTGCTATGACAGGAGGAATTGTGCTAACTAGAGATGCACTAATTGATCAGTAAGTAAGTGAGCACCACACATATTCGATTCCATGCGGATCCACCACATCCTGAGATTTGCCTGCCCAGAAATGTTATTGCACGTCACGCCACCGCAGACAACAACTGTTGTCATTCTGCTTGATAGCATTATGCCAAACACGTAATCTACATGTTTGTTTACGCAATCCACTTCCTCCTGAAAGCAAAATATAACATGTAAAGACCTGCATTGTACGTGGTTACATTATAGGGTTAATGTATTCACCAGTAATCGGCCATTATTTGTAACCTTTTCCTTATTTCTACAGGCGTGTCAATCTGTATATTTATTCAGCGGGTTGGTGGTCTAATGTCTATTTGACTTGTACCCAATTTCAGTTAAATTAACCGTTTATTAGTTCATATTGTGCAATGTGACAGGTCCCGGGTTCAACTTCCGGAGGAGCCCTCAAATATGTTATGGCCTATTTAATTAAGGGTGGCCAGACCACAAAATAAAGCTGTTTCATCCTAGGCTCATCCCAACCAGCAGACCTTTTATCACTTGCCCAGTGCTGTTCGCCTGTCCACCTAGGGATGGACTGCCTTTTTGTTTGATTATAGTTTTGTCATGTTTTTCTTAGTTGGGGAGGCAAGTTGCTATCATTTGGTTTAATAACGAGTCAACATATTGTAAATAAACCATTATCAAACTTTACCACAATTGGTAAAGTTTGATAATGATTTATTAAACATCATTATCAGATTTCTGATAATGATGTTGCTGCTTGTGGTCTGACGAGGATGGATCACCCTTATGTTGTGGTCTGGCCACCCCTAGACGGGCCATAACACTGCTCATTAAGTCCTCATTGTTTGATGTACATGAAAGAGCTGAACATAACATGGAAACACCATTGTCAGCCAGCTCATTTGTCTGAATGAAGGCCCTGTTGAGTTGTCGGTGTTTTATGATAAATATGAATTTAAATTAAATTGTTTATGATGGAAACAATATAATTGTGAATTATTGTATCCAGTTGCGTTCATCTGTTCACGTCAACAATAAAGCATTTAACTTGGTTAAATGGAGCATAAAAACAAAACAGAGAATATTTGAGTTTTACGCTCACTTGTTGTTTGAGAGAATAAAGCTCAGTTGTTTCATGAGTTTTATAACTTTGTTCCCATTTTGAAAAGATTACCTGTAATGTTCAGAAATGCATATAGAGTTTACATAAAATGCAGTGTCCTCTTTTTATTTGTGGCTTTTGTTCTTGTTTGTTTTTTTGTTTTGTTTTTTTTCCTCGTCTTTTTTCTCTTTTTCATTTTAAAATGAAGAAAGTGCCCTTGGTTATTGGTTGAAGTGCA